GTAAAAGGTAAATCGAATCTTCTATTTGGACGGCTTTTTCGCGGCTTTAATTGATTCTAGAAACACCCAACGGTTTAGCTTTAATTGGTCATAATTACAAAGTTGCGAATAAGGATTATCGGATAATCTTCTTTAAGCAATCGGTACGATTTAGTCAAAACTTATTAATTAATGTGAATCTGCTATTCGAATTCTGATTGATTAAAAGAGACTGCATATGAAAATCTCCTGGCCTTATATCAAGTTTGTGCATGGCTAATTCACACATCAATTAAATCAAAATTATCGAGCGTGTTAGGTTTTGCAGARGGAGAAAAATTGGACACCTGGAGAAACACCCTCGAATCAACTGAAGGTAGGGACGTTATAAACTGTAGGTCTACTCACACGTGATGGCGACTTCAGGAATTAAACTTGAGACCCCAGAGGCGAGTGTACTATCGCTACTCCACCCTTGATAGCGGATTAACCTTGAAGTTCCTTTAACGAATTCCTATTTTAACTATTACATGTCTTGTTAATTAAGAGAGACTTCTTTTCGTATTCAAGCAGTGAGCGCCAAAAACTATTTTCTTGAAGAAATTAAAGGCTGTTGTACAAGGCTAAAATCTYGTTATTCAGAAAGTTTAACTTGTTTGGAAGTGGAGATGAACCGATGAAAGTGGAATCAAAGTGTTAACCCAAAGCAAAAATTTTATTCGAAAATGAGGAATTAGGCCTTCATTTGCTTATTTCCCATACATTTTCTATAAAAAAGACTGACGAAGCTACAAACACAAATATTGCAACAAAACATCTTTGTACAATTGAAAATACCGCTTCAAACAAGCATTTTATCATAGTACATCAGTTCCTAACTGTTTAAAAAAGGTTTTGAGTGTTAACCTAAATCGAAAATTGGGATCCAAACTCATACGAAAGTCTAGTTTTTGGCGCTTTTTGCCATTATTGCTCATTATTGAAAAAATTTCCTCTTAGTGTATAATGGTATATTAATATTTGGATTCCATGTATACAGTTTCGGAGTGATACCGGGCTACCTGCCTCATTTATTTTATTTTTCCTTCGTCTCTCCCATCACCAATAACTTAGTCATCAACATGTATCAGTATGACCTCTACAGACTGTTTTCTAAAGTCCAAAAGTATCGAATCCGTGGGTTATTTTGATTGCCAACCCCTAGTCTTGATCTGTCAACCTTTGTTACATCAGCTCGATCGATCTCTGGTTGGCATAGCCGCGCCTCTTTTGAATAAAGTATACATGTGGTTTTTTTTTCTAATGGGAGATTGAAAGAAGCCGCCCTCTAATAGCACGTTACAGTTTTCCTGGCAATAAGCGGTACTAAGCAGCTAAATGATCCGACTTCAAAGCCACAGGCTGTTAAAAAGTTTGTTGAGTTGTGAAGTAATGGAGAAGTAGGGAATTGCACTATACATTTATTTACATGTTTCTTGAAAAAAATAATTGATAATGTATACCAGAAAAACTGATTCTGATCTCGATAACAAGCAGCGATCCGCTCATCAGTCCATTATAGCGAAAACCGATCTGATTCAGAAGATACAACCGGCCAATCACAGGTCTCAAACCCYAATTGTCACAACGAATCAGAAAGGGCGTCTTGAGTTCAGATTCATCCCTTATTACAGWACCTTGTTACCATCCGTGTGATAATCTAGTAGAAGAAATCACGATGGCAAGCCACGCATCGACGAGCCATTAGCAGAGGCTGGTTGTCGTGAAGGTAAAGGTGAGAGGTTTATATGTTTAAATTCATTGTAAAGTCTTATCAACACACGTATCTAGCTCATAAAGAGAGTAGCTTCAAGGCAATTTAGCTTCGAAAATGATTATCAATTAAATAATGATTCACAACTCTCGATTCAGTACGAATTTCGCTCAAACTCGACTGTCTCGGCTTTTTCGGCTACCAGTTCCTTTAAGTTTTTTTTTAATATAGCGGTTCGATTAAGCGTTTCATCCTTATAAAATCTATCTCAATTTTAGTCCAGGGTCATAACGAGTTACGAGAATATGATCAAAGATCGCTTCTTTTGATGGCATCAGGAACCAAAATACACGGATATCAGTGTTTTTGCTTTGTATATCCGGAAAAAATGTGTCATTAATTTTGAAAAAGAATAACAAATCCAAACCATAGTCAAATTAAATTGAAACTTAGAAACTAATGAACAGAATATTTAGAAAAAATAAATGAATTTCTTCAACAAACAAATTAAAAACAAACAAAAARTCTCGACATATATGACCCGTTGATTGCTATGATCTTTACAGACACKCCGACGTATATCAGTAGTTTTGATTGACGAGCAGAATAACGGATGTATTTTTGCTTTGTCCTAATAGAGTTGATAAACCTTCGTTAAATTAAAAAGGAAATACTTCAAAACATCAAAAAATACTCTTCAAATCAACATTTATAATGACTGAGTTGAATTACAGTCATTGTGTCTGAAGCCGAACATCGCCGATGTTTCAATGGCATAACGTTTTCTAGCTTTTAACCCATTTTATGTGCAGTGTTTAATTTATATTGAACTGGGATTTATTTGGGAAGGACACAAAATGTTTTCAGTAGAAAATAAAAATAATTGATGGCAAATATCCAAGGGGTTCGCACATCGACTCTTTACGCGGTGTTTCTACAAAAACCTATTTCAAAAAACGTTGTCATCGCCAAAGGCAATAGGCGATAGATCATTCCGAGACGGAAATGGTCAGTCGTCGACTACAAACAACATTGAATCAGTCTCATCACTAAGGTCCATCTTCTTACCGTGAATAAGAAGCAGAAACACAAATTATTAACACAAGCTAGTCTTGGATCTTGGTATGACCTATCTCCTATCGCTTTTTCTCCTATCTCCTATTGCCTATCGTCTTTGGCGATGACAACGTTTTTTGAAATAGCTGTATAATATCTGAATTTACTTTTTTTCCAGTTTGTGTTCGTGTTGAAATCATGCAGTCATTTATTAATGGTTTATTGTGTAATTYCTTGAACAATCATTCGACGTTTTTTTAAATCATGCTATGATTCCTGCTGCTGTTCGTAAACATCCTTTCACCACCAAGTTTCTTTTTTGAACGCTCATTTGCATCTGATTAAGATCTACTGAATATAATTTCGTGGTGTCGTTTACTCAACTTGAGCATGACGTTAAATCTTCGCTAAACAACTAAACAATGGAACACAATTTAAAATTTACATCCATAATCATTTTGAGTATAAATCGAATGAGTCAAAACTATTATACTTATGGTAGCGTATCAAGTCTCCAAGGCTTGAGAACGAACACGCGCCTGTTTTAACTCCAACACTCCCGATAAATCCACAGGAAAAAGCTTGGGAACGAACACGCGCGCGATTTGGCGCCAACATTCCCGCCAAATCCACAGGAATTCCAACAAAATTATTAGACCAGTAGCGTACTGAGTCCCAACAAAGCTTGGGAACGAACACGCGCGTGATTTGGCGCCAACATTCCCGCCAAATCCACAGCCTTGAACACCATCACTATAACATACAGATAGGATAGAGAATCAGCTTTAAAATCTGGGGTTCTCTATCTCAACAYGCAATGGTTTATCAGAATGAATTCTCACATTAATTTTTTTTTTTTGAATACTCCAGTTCTTTTTGTTCAGCCTTAGTCTCGTGTGCGTTAAAATATTTAGCTATTCAACCAAAACCCGTGKATGACGGCTAGTTTAGGAACTAGTTTGGACTGCGTCGGTGTTTTTTAGTTGAATCAAATGTGTCGTAGAAGATAATTTTATCACCGTAGATACGACTAAAGATTGTAGAGTGACGTTTCGGACGTTAGTCCTTCGTCGGAGTCATTCCGAAACGTCAGTCTACTATCTTTCGTACCTACGGTGATAAAATTATCTACTACGACACATTTGATTCAAAACCCGTGGATTTTTATTCAAGTCGTATTCCGTATATATTTTTTAGAACATTCCTTATATTCCTTATATRCTTCGGACCTTTCCGAACTCAGTTGTATACAATCTAGGCCAAGACTTAGAAAAGGCGTACTAGAAACTATGGGAGTATTAAAAATCAAATGAATGTTGAACAAAATGGAAATATGAATTCATGGGAGGGGGGGTTGGGGGGAGTGAACTGCTACAGCGGACCTGGTCAGCTGTAGCTCATCAATCGGACAATGTATATATAAAAAACCTTTTGGCGTGTTTGTATTGGAGCGTTTCATATTTCTTCTTTTAAAACAATTAAAAACCTACTTCATGGCAGTACTCTATCACAACAACCTATCACCGACCCATAAAAGGCAAAACTGAAAACCGAAACGAGAAACAGGAGGAGCTTCAATATCAAATAAAATATTGTCTGAAGGGTAAAAAGTAATGGTTTTACCAGTAATGGCGCCGCTGTGGCAGTCTACCTATATCAGAAAAAGCCAACATAGTCTTTTAAGTAGGTCTTTAATGTTTTAAAAAAAGAAATATTACACGTTCCAATACTATGATAATAAACATTCAAACACGCCAAAAGGTTCTTGAATACAGTACTTAATTGTCCGATTGATGAGCTACAGCTGACGCTGCAAGCCGTCAAATTGCGGACTCCCCTGCTTGGTATCAATTGAAGGGCAAGAAAAAATTGTATTTTGATCTATAAGCCAATGTATAAGGTTTGTTTTTAGAGATTTATCTGTATGCAATACAATTCTTTTTCCTGGAAACCTTGCAATTGACAAATTTGCGCGTTATTTTGGACAATTTGAAGCATGCGTGTCGTACGTTTTACAGCCCTGCATATTTAATTACACGTGCATGTAAAATAGATATCACCTCTCAGTCCCCTTCCTTCTGTGAAAATCTAGATGGTCTTATAAATGATGACAATTCTTTTGAGAATCGGTCGGCACGCGCACGCGAATAAGAAAAAGAAAAAATCGTCCGTGTTTTTCGATGGTAGTACTTGTAAGCCAGTGACTAACAAACCTCTACTAGTGTTTCCCCCTTTTCGTGATCTATTTGGAATTCAGAAGTGGATTTTTGCGGCGGAGGATACATGCGCAACGTAGTTCCAATAATRCGTTGTTCGATATCTTACAACACACCACTTCATGACAGAACGCGTGATACTTCCAACGAATAACACAGTTCAATTCATCCGGTGTAGGTTACTTCATGTGCGCGGGAAATCATTAGCTAAATACCACGAACTATCCAAAATCCTACAAGCGCTCATGCCTCGAGGGCTGTGAGATGACCATCTCCGCCGCGGTTTATTTTTTACCGATGTATAACAATTACTATTAATATTAGAGGATCCTTGGATATATTTAATTACGCACTTGCGGCATGGGCAAGCAAAACACTTGCTAATGAACACCCTGTCATAACTAAAAGTATGGGTTCAAAAACTGGATTATTGGAATGAGGTCGAAAGAGAGTTGTCAATTCAACGAAGCGCAAACACACACAAACACACACAAACACACACACACACACATATATATAGAATTCGAACTCAATACGGGTGTTCCTTGCGAAGTTTTCGATGCTTCATACGAATTTATCGATTGAGAGATTTTCAGTAAACGTGTAGAGTTACTTTACTTAAAAAGCTTACAAATGCACAAGCCCAGATCAGAGAATACGGAATACGGAATACGGAAAGAGAACTAGAGAATCAGTAGCTTCTGTTAATTTCTATCTCCATAATAGAGCGAATACTGTATTACAGGGAAAAACTGGCAGCCAAACATTGAACGCATCGGCTAGTTAAGGCGGGTGATGTGGAAATATTAGTTATAAGGGCATGCCATGGAACTTCATCATCATCAGAGTCTGCCAAAGCTAAGTTGCTCAGCTAAGCCCGGCGTTCATGTGCACAGGCAATAGATATTGATCCAATCTAAATAACCTTGATCCACTCTAAAAGTGTAAGAGTCGTTTAAACCAGTAAAAGGGAGGCTCATGGACAGAAAGATACGTGGAAATCCTCACAGCTCAGCCCGTCGTTTTGTGGACCGGCCGCGTTTTAGGACTCTTTATTATCCATTCTAAGTAAAAAGCTTGAAACGAGTATGATCGAGATTTTTTAAGATCTCATTGACTACGTACATTAGCAAAAAGTAGTTAGAAAACTTTATTAGAAAGCTCATATTATAAAGTTAACGCTGATTCCAAAAATGAAAAGAAAATGGGTTGTTCCCAGCTCGTTYTCGAGATCGATATTGAATTTGAATATTACCAATATCATCTTGACAAGTTTTTGAAAGAGCAATGTGGGAAAAACGCCAAAAGAGGCTATTGAAGCTTGCCTGCCTAATCTATTACAAACAAAAATACGTGATTTTCAGTCTTTGGTATATTGAAATCAATACTTGATATTTTAAAATGCTAGTCATAAGTGTGATATGTTTGCTTTTTGTGAAACTCATTAACTTGAACCAAACATAACTGGGCGGCTATTTTGCCTTCGGTATGTATGTTTGTCAAGACTAATATATCCATGTAGTTGCCGATGACAAAAACAAACATGATTTGGTATCTGATGTCGCAGGATGTCAAAGGAACTCATAAAACATAAGAGTAACTTCAATTTAATCCTATCAATATTTACGTCTTTGTCAGATTTACATCGGTGGGACTAATACTGAGTTTTTGCTTCCATAATTACGCACTTGCTGAAAATTTCCCAGTAGTAAAGCACAGATAGAAGGRAAAAAAAAGGTATTGAAAAGACAAACAGATGTTAATGAAATATTGCAGTGGACACTCTAGAGCAGTGACGATATTTTGTCCAGTCTGCGTGTTTGACAGAATGAGAGCATGTGCAGTGAGCGGCATCGTTAACAGTACTAATGCTTCATAGTCCTATCGAAATATGACCAAAAAAGTCATCAGATCCGACCAGAGATAAGGAAATACAGAGAGCAGTTTAAGTCCCTTCTCTTTCAAGAGATTCCCCAAATCTCAGAAGTCAATTCTATTATCATAACACAACAGAATTTCTTTAAATATTGACWGCAAGAGCGAATCCGGGGGGATTGGGCGAATAGTCATCCCCCTTTGAAGTCTTAATAGGAATATATGATATAAGGAAAGAACTAAATAGGACGCTATGTGATGCTTTGTTTGAAACAACAAGAAAAAGCTCACTCGAAAAGTAGAAACATTCCCGCTTATATATCACTAAGTATAGAAGGTAAGTCTTAAAATCAAGTAAAAAAAGTAATTTGAAATTTGAAACAGAAATTTGGAATTTTTTATTAGAGTGGCTTTTCCAAGTTATCTGAAGTGCAAACTTGAGCAAAAAGTGTGCCAATACGATTATTTTTTATTGAGATTTCGTTTGACGGTTTGATATCACTTGCCATGGTTAATTTTGAACAATCAAAAGTTTATCATCAGACCCAAGAGATAAGCGAAACCTGACTTGAGGACAGTTTAAGCACCTTCTCTGTCAAGAAATTCCAAAATCTCACGTCAATTGCATGGTCTTTAATTTAAACCACGTAGTAGAGTAGAAATTCTTTAAAGATTGACAGACAATTGGCCTGCCAACTAGCAGGCAATACTTAGAAGCCACGCTGAACGTGTACGACCACAATAAAAGAAACTCTCACTCGAAAATAGAACCAGAATCATACGTCTTCCACTCCTATCACGAAACAAAATAGGTAAGTTTTAAATTCAAGTACATAACTGGAATGTGATTTAGATAAAGGTAGACATTCAGAGATTTTTTACTGGATTATGCAAAACACGTACAAAAAAAATGAAGTGCTTTGGTTTCGTGCTTTTTTGGAATCAAATCAATTATAAAAATYTTATCTATAAATAATATTATCATTGTTATTTCACGGTACTGACTAAAGACTAGCATCTGCCCGTGGTTTGTTTTTCCTTATTGGAAAGATTGTCTCTTATTAGTAAAATAAATGAAGTAATTTCTCAGTGGTTTTCTACATAATCACAAATAATAATTTATAGCTGAGATAAAATCAGTTTTAATTATAGAACARCCTGCACGATAGGCATGTACTGGTAATCTGTTTTTATCCTGGAGCAAGCCATAGCTGAAGCTGCCACGTTTCTTTTTCTTTTGATGCGTGTTTGATATCTTGTCGATGAGCCAACTCAGGAATTTAATAATACTGAGCCAACTCAGCCATTCCTCTCGAAATGTCAAGGAGGTAAGGAGGCAATATTTTATTGAATCACCTAGTAATTCAACCGATTGCTGCGGTGAATTAAGGAGCACTCGAAAGAGCCTCCGTGAAAGAGCTGTCATTGCTCGAGACAATTTGGAAACTTTGAAGTGGATTTTCAATATATTTGTATTTTTGGGGTACGCTATATATAGTATAYGCAGTACAAACACTAAAGATCGATGTAACTGAAGAACCTATATATATATTTATAAAATATTTGTGATAAGCGCGCGCGTTGATTGGCTGGCTACCGTGATTATATCAGAGTAGAGAGAGACGAGCACTCAAAAATATTTTATAAAAGCAATATAAAACGGCTGCTTATGAAATTTTTATTCTGAATCATCTACGAGTCCAAATTAGACGTGGAATGGAATTTTTTTGATKATTTATTATCACCAAGGTATTAAAAGTTGCCTTGCCTTTGATGGATTTCAGGATCGATAAGGGTTATATATATATACGCGCGCGCTGATTGGCTGACTACCGTGTTTATATCWGAGGACAGAGACACGCTCGCGCGAAATCATTCAAAAATATTTCATAAAAGCGATATAAAACGTCTGCTTGTGTCTATATACTGTGATATAAACGCTCTGGGAGCTGTAGAGCACTCGAGAAGTTAAAGAAATACTCGGCTACGCATTGTGTTTCTCTCTCTTGTGTTTATATCCGCAGTGTATAGACACGCGCGCCGTTATATATTCCTAATATATACAGCGTTTTGCAGAAATTCTGTAAGTAAAATGAATATCAATATGGGTAATTTTCAATTTAGAAAACGTTTAAAGAAGATACTAGGTTAAATACAATATTTTCRGTGAAATATAATCATAGTGTACATTATAAGCATTAATACTAGAGTTGTGGCTAACTTTTGGTTGTAAGTCTACATATGGATATATCGATATACTTGGGATATTTTGGCGTGTTAAATACAAAAATTGAATTAGGAGGAAACTTAAATACCGTGTCAAAAGGTTGTGGCTAGGCTTTTGARTCGAGTGAGTCTACTCGCCAGAAACAAGATTCTTAGTTCAATTTCAGATTTAAAAAAAAAGTATATATATATACTATGCAAATTCGAAAATGCTTCTGTCACTAGCTATCAAAACATATTCATATTTGCTATCTAAACTGCTAAGTAATATACAGTCAATGTCATTAACGTTGTCCACCGAAAAAAGACATTTACACATTTACGCATTTGCACATTTAGACTAAAAGAAATATCACGTGTTTCCTCGAATGTTCTGGCATAAAACAAACGCTGAAATACCATTCTCCACCTTAAATCTTCACTAAATGTTCGGGCATTCTGGATTTTCGATTCACGAGTTGAATCTTACATTTAAAGTTCAGGCTGACGCACACGAAATGTGTAAAATGCGTAAATGTCTTTTTTCGGTGGACAACGTTAATGACATTGACTGTTTTTAAAGGATGATATATCAAAGTAATAAGAGCCTGTGGTTTTCAATAAGGTTAAGTTAGCCTCATGTTAATTATCACTGACCAGCTTTCTTATTGAGTGCATTCATTCTCTTCTATATATTTAATCATAAAGAAATAGGAAACGCGCGCGCGTGCTGTGTGTATTTTATAAAGCACGCGGGGATTGGCAGAACACATTTCAGTGTTAAGAGAAGCAGTGTTAAGAGAAGCACAACGCGTAGTGTTTTGCTAATTCCCAAGTGCTATAACTACGCACAGCACAGCAAGCAAATTTTTTTTTCATTTTATAAAATAGAAATTAGAGAAACTGTTATTTTGGGAACGAATGGCAAAGTTGAAGTGCGTGATTATCTAGAAGAGATACAGCTCAGCAGTTAATCTAGAAAATAACAGCACATATTCAAGTCCCACATGGATCAGCACAGGGCGAGCCGCCTTTAGTCACGTCCAAACACACCGTACGCCTGATAAAATCAATTTACTTCGTAAAATACACGATCCAAAACTTATATATATTAATAGTCACATACCGTATGTAGGGGGGAAAGACGGTATAGAGGCTTTGCACCGTCACGTGATGGCATCCATGACACTGAGGAGGCAGGAGGCAGGTCCAATTGAGTCTAGTCGAATCTGATTTACACGTAGCCTCCTTTGCAGCCGTTCTTAGGGTCGTCACGCAACGTTTCCCTCCCTAAGAACGGCTGCAAAGGAGGCTAATTTACACGAGAAAGGATTCAGTTTCTCAGGAAGAAATACACTACTGTTACGTCCTCCTGTTATGGCTGCCATCACGTGTTGGTGCAAAGCCTCTATTGCACTAGTTATATCGTCTCGATATTCGAAGAAACAGTAGCGTATTGAGCCGACAACCCAGAACTCACCGGGAGAACTCGTTTTGATTTCAATTTTAGTTCCAAAATTCATGTTCCTTTACTATATTAGACTATCGTGATCTAGCTGCGGCAGCCTTAAAGAATCCAATATACCATAAGATAAGATATTAAGTACTACAATGTGATAAGACTACCAAAGGTGATTGGTATTAATGGAGAATTTGAGCCATCAGTCAAGTTCAAAAATCGAAGATTTCTGGATCATTGGATAAAATTCCATATGAGGTAAAAGAATAGTGTTATATACATTAGCAGGCGAAATATTTAAATGCGTTATCCAAAGGGAAAGCCGTGATTTTCTAGACTAATTACCAGTGTTTCACATGGATTCAGACACTTGGCGGAAAACAATTCAAATCCTGRTTGTTTCGCAATCGATATTCTTTGGGTAATTGGTATGCTTAGCACGTTCTCTCCATGCCTCATTCCTCCTAGAGGGATTAATAAAAAATACCCAAAAGTTACAAACAAATTCTGGAGGTTTGGCTTGGCATTAAGCTAGCCTGCGATGAACGTACTGGCATCTGCAATGAACTATAGCATCCAATCAGGGGAGAGGGGTAGTAAGAGGATAGCGATACTCCTATTGCACTCTTACTGTCAAAATTTTTCACTATAGAAAATTAATGGAGTATAGTACATGAAGCCGGTAAGGAGCGTCGGCTTTGCGCAACCCTCTTTAACGCCGTCATGATTCATGCAATTAGACAGATTGTCGAACGAGGAACATTCTAAACAAAAGCAAGCGAAAGGAAGTCGGCTCTTGACACTTAAGACTAAATGTTACATATATTGGATATAAGTAACATGTCGTATATGTATGATCAAAGTAGAAGCACAAGACAACCGCCCAAGTTCGAAGTCTCGCTCGTGTCTGGTGCTTTGAAGAACCAATTTAAATATTCATTAAGCAATGAAAATCTAGTAATTTTTTTCATTGGGGGATACAAGTCAAGCCAAGTCACATTCGATAATAGTGGGTCATATCTGTATCTTTGGTATCATGATGAATGTGCCGTAGGGCAGAATTAGTGAGGAATGAGAAAATACATCAGCTCGGTAATAATAAGTATTGCTGCCAATATAGCTTTGTAATAGTCAAAGACTAGTAATTAGCCGTGTGTGTAAGACAATCTAGAGACATGACCAAACCACCACCAATAAGCACGTTTCTCAGACCAAGTTCATGACTGATCACTCAAGCACGTGCCTGTGATTATCAGTATGTTAACCGCAACGACTAGCTCTGGTCAATCTATAGCATAGTGTATATACAGCACTTGGCTTGGAATGTCAGGGTTTTGGCCGCACTTGACAGACACCTGAAAAAATTGGAATTTCTATTTTTCTTTTTAAGCAAGCAGATCCAGAGACGCATCAATAGAGCAAAAAAGGGCGGGAGAAAATAAGCAGATATTCATATACTCATAGACAAAACAATATAACACTCGTGATATCTTTACCTCAGATGCGACTCTGTTCGCCTTTTTCAATTGCTAAATGGATGTACGTCCGAAGGGATTGATTCCTGCAATTTGTCATAATAATGTTCTAATTTCATAGCGGTTTTCCCCTATGCAAGACATCTCAGCAGAGATTGCAATCTCGATAACGTGAGGATTTTCAGGTGGTGCTTGTCTCTCCTAATAGAGCGGTATGTCAATCTATTGAAGTTTCCTTTGAAACAAAACTACTTATCTAACAGCTAAAGGTATTATTATTAGTTAAACGTATGAATCTGCAAATGAAAAAGAAAAACTCTTTTCTAAAAAATATTCATCTTGCTAAATATTCCTCGTAGCGATCATTTGTATGTTGAGGACATGTTCAAGGTTCGGTTAAACTGTGCAAGATGGATGCTTTTGTCAGGCCGGATCCTGGACTCTGAGCGATATTCAGTTAAGGGGAAAATCTTGACGAAAATAAAAGTTGTTGTTCGTCAGAAATGCGATTTTATTTTGCCGTTTTTATTAATCTTTTTTTCAACATTTAAACCAATTTTTAACAATTTATAAATAGAGAATAAAAGAAAGCCGTTATTCAGAAATACGGTATTGTTTGCCATTATTATTTTTCCAACCAACAATGATTCGTGTTTAACTAGCTATTTCCTAA